GAAATGCCTTCACAGCCCACTCTGCCCCCACCACCCACGGCGAGAGGATGTCCTAGCTGGGAATCCGCTGGTAGAAGTAGATGTAGCCCAGATCCTTGGGGGGCTTCTCAGAAGCACAGACTTTCTGGTCGTTGTAGATCACCCACCTGCAACGGGCAGAAGAGGGGAGGGCTCAGAGACACCATTCTGTGGCAAAAACACAACTTAACCCCCCCTGGCCTGCTCTCACCCCCGACCCCCTAAGTCCTCTGAAGAAACAAGAGGAGGACAATCACTTAAAGCTGTACCCCCTGAGACCCCTTGCGCTGTGAAAACCCCCTCTTACCTGCCATCTTTCTTGATGTGACAAACGTAGTGCCCACACATAGTCGAAGTGCCCATGTGGCTGATGAAGGCAAACAGCTGATATTCTTGAGAGGAGGAGGGAAGAGAGGAGGGGTCAGAGGAAAGTAGGCATCTTACCCCAAAACACCCTACGCAAGGCCCTCCTAGGAAAGGATCCCTGGAGGAACCTCTTGCTGGGTTATAATTTAGAAGTGGGTCCCCATCAAAGCCTGACTGAGGATTTGGTCTTGGGGCCAAACGTGCAGGGAAACGGGAGGTGGTAACTACCACAGCATTCTCTCTTCCAACTGCTTATTTGGCCCACGGGTGCCGGGTGGGTGATGGCAGGGGTTCCCCCTCCCTACGGCACCCACGGCACTCATCCTGCACAGGGACCGCAACCTGGTTTTCCAATGGGAACAGGAAACCATCCCAGGATGACTGGGATGACTTTCACTTGACGGCATTTCCTCTGCCTCTTTCTCACCAGCTTCCAGGGAACCACCACCCTGAAGCATCTAGACCCTCCATTGCCAGCCCTCTCCTTTTCCACCCTGTTTCCACCTCAACAACCTCCACATGCACTAGGGAGGACAAAGCCATGTAGAGTTTGCACCCCCAAATCTCCATTCCTACTGCCTGGAACTCACTTCCAGGCCCATCGCGCACTTTAGGACCCACAGGGACAGATTCGGAGATGGACTCGGCTGCCGAGCGCCCCTCTGAGATATCCATAGCAGCTTCTGCGTCAAGGTCATCGATGTGACTAAAGATCCAATCCACGGCACGCTCCAGACTGTTGTTCTGGAAGGAAGAAAAGACTGTGAACTTGGGAATGCCCGTTCCCCAGAAGGTCCTTTCACTCTGACATCACCCATGCCTCTCACCGTGGCTCTAAGAGCTTTCATAGCCTGGTCCCGGGAGAAGCCCATGGAGACGATGGTGGCCACGCTGTCTTCTGAAGGAGGGTCTGGGCAGGCAATAGTTGACCCTGGTCCACTGGATCCAGGGAGAACCAACGGGTTAGCAAAGTCTGCAGCAGGAAAGAGCACACAGCTCAGAGCAGTTAGATCTTTCCAAAAGGGATACAGCCTGAGGTCCCAACCACTTCAGTTTTCCACCGTGGCAGTGGGACAGGCAGTAAGTACAATGGCTCTGGGGCATGCTCAGAGCAGTTAGATCTCTCCAAAAGGGATACAGTCTGAGGTCCCAACCACTTCAGTTTTCCACCGTGGCAGTGGGACAGGCAGTACAATGGCCCTGGGGGCATGGCTTCCCCACGGCCACACACTCTCCATACCTGGATCATCCATATGTGACATGACCCAGTTCATGGCAGCCTCAGCCCCGCTGTTCCCCGTGTAGTACACGGCTTTGCGGCAGGCGTCCATGGGAAAGCCCATCTCCACCAGCTGGATAATCACCGACTCATCCAGCATGGGGGCTGTGGGAAGACAGAGATTAAGAGCCACCCACTCGCACCCAGCCCTGCCTGCTCCGTTTTGTTCAGTGTCACACAGGCCACCCATTTCCTGGCATTGTTTCACCCAAGTTGTGCCTCTCTCTGCTCTTCTCATCCTTTGCTACCTGCCTTCTTCAGGAGCTCAGCCTCACGCACAGGCAGCCCAGGGGACAAAAGGATGTGAGTCATGAACTCAGGAGCACTGGCTCTCCCCCAGCTTCCAAACCCTACCTTCCCACCACCATTTGTGAAAATAAAATCACAGAATCACAGAATCGTAGTGGTCAATGGCCCTGGGGGCATGGCTTCCCCACGGCCACACACTCTCCATACCTGGATCATCCATATGTGACATGACCCAGTTCATGGCAGCCTCAGCCCCGCTGTTCCCCGTGTAGTACACGGCTTTGCGGCAGGCGTCCATGGGAAAGCCCATCTCCACCAGCTGGATAATCACCGACTCATCCAGCATGGGGGCTGTGGGAAGACAGAGATTAAGAGCCACCCACTCGCACCCAGCCCTGCCTGCTCCGTTTTGTTCAGTGTCACACAGGCCACCCATTTCCTGGCATTGTTTCACCCAAGTTGTGCCTCTCTCTGCTCTTCTCATCCTTTGCTACCTGCCTTCTTCAGAAGCTCAGCCTCACGCACAGGCAGCCCAGGGGACAAAAGGATGTGAGTCATGAACTCAGGAGCACTGGCTCTCCCCCAGCTTCCAAACCCTACCTTCCTACCACTGTTTGTGAAAATAAAATACCTCTACCCGTTTACATTTTGGATAAACCCCAGCTCTGGCCCCTTACCACTGTTTGTGAAAATAAAATACCTCTACCCGTTAACATTTTGGATAAACCCCAGCTCTGGCCCCTCTAAATGCACCTCCATGGAAGAGGAATCAAGAGGGTCCCTTGCACAACGCCCTTGTGTAACAGGTGGGCAAGGGAAGGAGAAGGCATTCGCTGACAGAGGGACAGGGAGAGGCTGAGGAGGTGGGAAACCGCTAGGACGGGAGACAAGACAAGGAGAGCGAGGGAGTGAGTCAGGCATCAGGAAGAGAGGAGGAGAATCACTAACATGTCGGAGAGGAGAAGTGAGGGGAGCAGAAGGAGTCGTCGTCCTCGTTGCCATAGAACCCCAGGCTACCTTTGGGCTCGTCTGGTGTCACCAGTGGGGGTGCGATGTCTGGCATTTCTTCTTCTCCATCTTGCAGCCCCGTCCCTTGCAGTGCAGAGATGTCCAGCTCCTCTGGCATTTCAATGGAGACATCTGCAAGACAGAGCCTTGCTCAGCCTCTCCGTAGGGGCAGAAACAAGGCACTCGGTTGGGAGATCTAAAAGGGTAAGTCCCTGGGGATGCAACACACTACACTCTGCAGCTCCCTTTGGGGAGTCATGACCACAAAACCCACATATGACACCAAATACCTATATGCTCTGTACTTCTCATCCTTCTTACCAAGCTTTTTGGGCACCCAGTCCAGACCAAAAGTGAATTTCTTGATCTGGATCACCAGATAATCCGGGAAAGAGGCGAACCGTGTTGTTCTGAAAGAGACAAATAACACTTATAAATACTTTGTCAGCAGTGATGGAGGGCACCCAGCTAATTCAAGAAATCAGGGAGTGGGGTGGAGGTATGTCCTAAGGGGACACACACACACACACATCCCTGCAGCTCTCCTACGCTGAGCTTCAAGCTCTTCAAACAAAGAACCATTTCTAAAGCAGATGCTCCGACCCCATGAGACAGAACGGAGAGCGCACAAAAACTTGGGGGATGAGGAAAAATAGTACATGTTCTCTACCTTCCAATCCTGTATTTTACAAGCCTCCTCAGATTTTAATTAAAAGCCTAACCCTTAAGGAATGCAGAGGAAATAGCATCTTTTATTAGACCAACAGATACAGCTGCAGGAACTGACAGGCTTTCAAAGCACGAGAGCGCTTCTTTGTATATGAAGCAAAAGCAGTGAATTTTAAGCTAACTGAGTTTGATTGAACATTATTTAGTTAGACAATTTGAGAGAGAGGGTGTCTGGAATCCATGAAACAGAGGGGAATGTTTGGGAATAAAGCAGCAGTAGCAAGACAGACGGATACTTATTATCAGGCGATAATTGTAACATGCCATAAAATTAATTTAAGCAACAGTATATATTCAGTGCTAATTCTCACAAAGTGTTTGAACACAACTCACTACTTAAAAGCAAAACAAAATGTTACTTTTCAATGGGATAGTGTTATTGACTGTTTGTTTAAAGCAGCTATTGCTCAATAATAGTATATTTGTCAGAAAACAACTTCCAGCTCTTTGAGGACTACTCTTTTCATCGCAGAAGAACAGTCAGCAGCATCACAGCAGGAAGCTGCTTAAATTTGTAATCTTCTCACTACACCTTTGCACTGTCGCATGGGCTGCAGGCAGTGAGACAAATTAAAGCTGGTTTTTTAAACCTTAGCCTTAATTTAAGTTAACATTCTTTGAAACAACACACACGTCTGTTACACCCAGCGTTTTGCTCGAACTTTTATAGCTAAAAACTTCCTTTAAAGAATTTTTAGAGAGCAAGCAGGACCAGTGTTGCCACACTGTCAGGACTAATTTTCAAGGTAAATTTTGAATTTAGACTAAAAGCTGTTAGTTTTCTGGAATACCACTGTATTTTTGTAGCCCCTCAGCAACGGAAGTCCTATGGCAAGGATTTCACTAGCGCTGCTGTTCTGCCCACCTCCATCCCTTGGGAGCACTCACTCCAGCACTGATGGACTGGTTCCCCCTCTGCTTCAATGTTCAACCCAACATAATTTGGGCTCAGGGTGTGGAGGACTACAAAGCTTTGGTAGCACTTCTTCCCCAAGCAACTGAAGGAAGCCCTCAAAGATGCAGCTATTGCCAGTTTGTGAGAGCGTTAACTGGGAACTCAGACACACTCACTTGAGAGCCACAGACTTGGCCTGCAAGGCTGTGCTCCAGAAATCATCCACCTGCTCTGGAGCTCCATAGGCCTCTAGGCAGGAGCTGAAAGGCACCTTGGCTCGCACCAGCTCAGGCAGTGGCTGCTTCTCCTCCTCTGCCTGCCGCTTCTTCTCCTCATATTCCAGTAGTTCATCTAGAGAATAAAGGAGAGGAGTCAAGGTCCACCCTTAGGGACCTACAAAGCAACTGGTGTAAGCTACACCCAGAGGCAGAGTAGGCCTGTAGATACACGCCCCATCAAGAACGGAGCCCAAAGCTGACAATGTCTTCCAGAAGCACTGTTCTGCAACTGCAGTCCTGTTTTGCCCTCAAATCACAGCCCAGCTTGTGGTGTCAGAGAGAATGGTCCTAGAGGGACATCACTGTGTCACACCACCTCTGAAGAAAGCAGCCCAGTCCCACAAAAGCAGGTGAAGGACCAATCTGGCTTCAGAAAAGGCAAAGCCAGTCCCCGAGGAAGTCCCTTTCTCATTTAAGGAGTTCTGTAGTAAAAGTACAACATCCAAACATAATGTTTGCTACTGTTCTGGCCTTGGCACCTTACTGACCTTTGTTGAGTGCAGCATCCATGGGCACGGGCAGCTGCATGATATAGTCCACACGCTGGGTATATTTCACCTTTTCTGTGGCCAGGCACTTCAGCTTCTCCTCCACCAGAAAGCGGAAAACCTCATTAGGGTTCTCCGAGCTTCGGCAGTTCCTCTGAAGAAGGAGAGATCAGAAGGACAGATGTAACATCAGAATAGCAAGAGATAAATATCTGCAGTAGCAGCAACAGCCACACAGGACACAGCTAAAGAGTATTCACTTCTGTACCCATTGGAAAAGGCAGCAAAGAGTAAACTAGAGCCAACTTCTGTACCCCAGGAACCCATGCCATTCCTGCTCCTAAAGAAGATAATTTACATCTCCAGCTGGGCATTCCCAGAAGACATTCCTCCAAGGAATCAGCCCTTAAACATCTCTCAGAATCTTCTAGGTTGGAAAGGACCTTAAAGATCATCTTGTCCAACTGTCAACCTAACTGACAAAAATAGATGTTTCCATGGATGTCTGGTGGAGCATCTAGCCAGAAGCTAGTACGGGCTGGGCTCGTGAGACCTCACGAGACAGGCAAACCAAACACAAGTTCTTAAAAATGAACACACAACTCATTTTTCATTGAGTTTAATGAGGAAGGAGAGGCATTGAGTGTTCAGGGTGGGGCAAGGGCCAGAAATAAAGCTCCTGCCACCCTGTTTACCTCCGGGGGAGTGGAAGCAGACAGGGACGCTTGACCACCTACCAACAGTTTGAACCACAAAGCTCATGGCTTCCAGCTGGGGCACCGTTGTGTTTGCCTCCTCCCCTAGGTGCCAGCTGACCCATTTCCCCATGTTCTCCCCCTCTCTCTGCTCCAATTGCTAGCTTCTCACCTCCACTCCTCACACCCTGCTGTGGGGAGAAAACAGAGATGGATTTTTCCATTATTTTGACAGATAGACTCAATCATTACCTCCACCATGTTGATGAAGTGCAGAAAGAATTCTTGGGCGTCTTGCTGTCGGTTGGTGGAAAATTCTGGGTGCCCCTTTCCAATGAGGGCCTTAAACATGCGTGGAGCAATGCCATTTTGCATACCCTGCAAATAACAAGGTGGAAAAGGAAGGTGGTCATAATTTGCTAACCGTGTGTCCTGGCATAACCATGTTTTTCTTCAGGTGACAGGGCCCTGGAATCATCCCCAGGACACGTCTTCAGAAAGGGTTCTCTCTTCAACCCCATGTAACACACACAATGCCTCACGCAACACACCCATCATGAAGATGCTGCATCCAAGTCTCACCTTTTGATCGGGCTGCTGTTCCCCATCTGCAGAAGCTGGCTTTGAATACTCCCCAGAAAGCAGTCCGTGGCCCAGTTTGGCTCTGGAATGATGAAGAAGTCACTGTTAGCATCAAAAAGGTTTCTGCAAATCCCACGTGCTCCAGGAGCCGCATCAACCCCTCCAGCTTTAACACCACCACGGACTGTCAGTCTCACAGAGATCAGCTTTCTCTGCTCCACCAGCCAAGACCATCTCATCTTGGTCTGCTCTCTGGTCGCATGAGACATCATTGACTTGAAAGCTACTAGGAATTCCGGGCACCAATCTCAAACGTTGCTTGCACAGTGGGGAGAACACAAAGGAACAGCTTCCTTTGCCCCACAGCAGGGCAGCTGGCACTGAGCCCCACGGCAGCTGCGTAACAGCCAAACTAAGCTGCAGCCTGACATGGGTAAAGCAGGAGGGCATCAGCAGCACTGACTGTGCAGGAGACAACAGGGCAGAGTGAAAATTGTCCGAGCCAGAAATAGCATTGCTGTGAGCAGACTGAGCACGTTTTCCCAGGGGAAAGATCAAGAATGAGTGCATGGAGCACTCGACGGACAACAGTAACATTAAGTGATTTCCTCCTATGCTCAGACCCTTCCTGCTCTTCCACTTCACCCCAGTCCCTCCCCATCCCTGTTGCCATTTGTCTGGAACCAAACCCCACCAATTCCTCCCTTTGCCCAGGCAAAAATCTCCCCGGCTGTCTCCACTTAATCCCCTCCTCAGCGAACACCTCACCCCAGGCTGTCCAAATTTAGAATCCTCCCTTAGCGCTGAACTCCCCTCCACAAATGCCACCTTCCATTCCTCCACCCGAAACCTCTGCTCTGCTGTTTTAGAGCAGACGTAGCACAGAACTCACGGATTTAAAATGCAACACCCTCCCCAAATCTTGTGTTCCTCCTTCTGTATATTCTCCCGCTATTGCTCGCACAACGCCTCTTGCAGGAAGCCTCTTTAAGTTTATATATATTATCCAGTGAGAATAAAGTTGCCTAAATCTATGTGTTTATTTGCTCTAAGCCATCTCTCTCCGTTGCAGAGAGCAGGCACCTTTTTGCTGTTAGGCAGCCAGAATATGCCCACCAGAAATCCCCCTGGGGCAACAGATGGTACTGTGTTCCCCACATAACTCATCTAAGAGCCTCTCATCAACACTGAGGTGCACTCTGTCCTCTCCACCTAGGGCATTCAGCTGAACTTTCTTGGCATAGATCCTTATCGATCACTGAGGATCGGTGTCTCTTGGTGATGGGACACAGAAAGAGAGAGGCGAGGCTCGAGGGAGAGACCTGCAGCAAAGTACTCTGTAGCAGCGCAGAGGGGACGCACCCAGGCAGCCTCAGCCTTCCTTCTCTCCCCAAAACTCTACGTACACTTGTGTGCTGAAGTCCTGTGTGGGGTCCGAAGGTGCACTTTGGAATATCTTCTCCAGCTTGTCCACATACCTGCAAAGCAAAAACGGAGCAACCTAAGGAACGTGCGGGTTCATCTAGTAAAGACACCAGTTCTGAGCCTGACCACTGCAACAGAAGCTCCCAGATCTAGGAGACCTTTCTACTGATCCCGGGGCATCCCAGGCTAATGGAATGGAGTGACTGAGCTCACTTACTTTCTCTGGAAGTCTGGGATACTGAACAGCACCTGCATCACGGAATTGAGGTAGCAACTGTTGCCCAGGTTACGGATACCGGTGTACCCAGGCCCATAGAGGGGCTTGAGCTGCACGCCAGACTCCTGGATGAGCTCCCACTCCCCAATGCGCTGGTTCATGTCTATTTCCAGTTCTGTCATCGTCTTGTCTGTCTGCGGAGGGAAAAGAAGAGGAAAAACACTCAGAGAAGACTCGAGGGAACGTCAGAGGTGTAAAAAGGGAAATGCTGTAGAGAATTTCACTGAATTTCACTGAATTTAGAGTTGGAAGGGACCATAGAGATCATCTAGTCCAACTCCCCTGCTGAAGCAGCATTGCCTAGAGCTAGAGCGTGTTACTCAGGACTGCATCCAGGTGGGGCTTGAAAATCTCCAAGGAAGGGGACTCCACACCCGCCCTGGGCAGCCTGTTCCAGGGCTCTGTCACCCTCACTGTGAAGAAGTTTCTCCTCATATTTGAGTGGAACCTCTTATGTTCCAACTTGTGCCTGTTGCCCCTTGTCCTCTCACTGGGAACCACTGAAAAGAGTCTGGCTCCCTCCTCCTTCAACCCTCCCTTGAGATACTTGTAGGCGTTGATAAGGTCTCCCCTCAGCCTTCTCTTCTCCAGACTAAAGAGTCCCAGCTCTCTCAGTCTCTCCTCATAAGGGAGATGCTCCAATCCTTGAATCATCATGATAAACAGAGTCAGATCCATTTTATTAAATTAGAAGAGGAGGAAGATACAAGAATTGTTTTCAAATATCTGAATATACCTGGCACAGAAAGAGGAGTGATAATAGACACAGGAGAAATCTGAACCATCCCCTGTAAAGGGGCAAGGAAATCACAGCCTAGCACTGAATCTAGGGAAGAAAGCTCATTGCCTGGGAACGTCCCTGCCTGCAGGACTGACACAGAACCCCAAGGAAATCAACCTGATGGATGGGAAAGAAGACAAAAAAGGCAATGAAAGAAAAGGCAATGGCTTCAAGGGGCAATGGCTTCAAGCTGGAGGGGAACAGATTTAGATTGGGGATTAGGAGAGGGTTCTTTACTGTGAGGGTGGTGGAGCACTGGAACAGGTTGCCCAGGGAGGCGGTTGAGGCCCCTTCCCTGGAGATATTCAAGGAGAGGCTCAACGAGGCCCTGGGCAACCTGGTCTAGTTGGGGGTGTCCCTGCTGACTGTGGGGAGGTCAGACTAGATGACCTTTGGAGGTCCCTTCCGGCCTGGGCAATTCTATGATTCTATGAAAAGAGGTAGACGAGACAACTCTGCCTGACCAAAACCAAGGTTTCTTGACCAGGAATGGTTCTGCATAGCCACAGAAAGCTGGGATCCAGCTAAGACACCTCAGACTTGCTGCTCTCTCCCTCTGGAACTACGCAGGACCAGCACACACACACTTTACCTTCTGCATCTTGAGCATGTCAATCCCAAAGTGAGCAAGGTGTTCTGCCAGGTTGGGATCCAACACCATGTCATCCTCATCATAGGAGTAGACATCTACGCAGGAACACAGAGGAAAAGGAGAGACTTATAACGGCCTGTGATCTAACACTCACTGCTGGGTGACGAGAACAGAGTGCTCAGAACTGGGAGTTTTGATGAACTGAGCAGTTGGGGTTCCTCTCCTTTCTCAGGGGAGCAGCATGACAGACAGAACATTGAGGTTCCTCCAAAACAACTTTGTCATTGGTCAAGGCACAGAGGCACATGCATGGCTGGAGTGAGGGAAGTGGGTTACTGTGCCATAAATTCTCTACTCAGGCTTTGCACACAAAATTCTTTGATAAACATCCCATCACAAAAAATAAGATGGCAACCTGGATAACTGTTCTAAAACCCTCCAGATTACAAGAGAGGGGAGGAGGAAGGCAAGGTTTTATCAGCTGGTTCTTTGCCAGCCACAGGAAGCAGGTCAGAGTGGGGAAGTTCATCATAGGATGACACTGAATATTCCAGGTCAAAAATGGGCAGCACCAGCCTAATTCCTGGAAACCCTCCCTGACTTCCCTTGTCAGAGAGCACAGTCAGGCTGGTTGGTGTCTGTTGTCTATAACCCTCACAGGATCCCCCTTCTCACCGGCCCCGTCAGGAGTAATTGTTCCCAGTTTCACAGCCAGTGGGTAGCCGGTTTCCCGGTAATGCTCGACCGCGTGGTTGTTGCCACCACTGCCATCAAAATAGCGCCGGCCGCAGAGGATGGCTCCGTCGGTCATGTTCAGCCACAGGTTCTCCCTCATGTCACACTTGCTGCACTTCCAGCCACTATTGACAAGAAACAGAGAGAAAGAGATTAGGGTGAAAACCTTTGGGTTCTATTTCTCAAGTCCTCTCTCCATTACTACCCACTGACCAGAGTACAAGCAATCTCATTCCTCTTTTACTTCAGAACACTGAGCATCCTGAAATACTTTAGTTTGCCATTTCCCCTGAATTTACAGACTCAGAGACTCACAAAAGAAGTCTCATCTGCTGCTGCAGTCCAGGACAGGAGAAGAAGGTGATGGGGTGAGGCCCCATCTGGAATACTGTGTCCAGTTCTGGGCTCCCCAGTTCAAGAAGGACCAGCAACTGCTGGAGAGGGTACAGCAGAGGGCTACAAAGATGATGAGGGGCCCAGAGCATCTCTCTTACAAGGAGGCTGAGGGACTTGGGTCTTTTTAGTCTACAGAAGAGAAGGCTGAGGGGGGATCTGATCAATGCTTATAAATACTTAAAGGGTGGGTGTCAGGAGGATGGGGCCTGTCTTTTTTCAGGACAAGAGGAAAAGGGCACAAACTTGAACATAAGAGGTTCCATCTAAGCATGAGGAGGAACTTCTTCACTTTGAGGGTGTAAGAGTACTGGAACAGGCTTCCCAGAGAGGTGGTGGAGTCTCCTGTCTCTGGAGATGTCCAAAACCCACCTCAACAAGTTCCCGTGCTACCTGCTCTGGATGGACCTGCTTTGGCAGGGGGGCTTGGACTAGATGATCTCCAGAGGTCCCTTCCAGCCCCATGTGATTCTGTGATTTTGTCTGGGACACAGAGCAATACATCTAGCTTCAGTACTACGCTCACCATGGTGGGATCCGGACATCGTTCTGAAGTTGTTGCAGGGAAAAAGCATGTTTGGAAACACGTCGAACCTCCCCATCCCAAGCCTGCACCTCCTGCTTCCGTGATGCTGAATCTGCTGTCAGGATGGCCTCGACTGCACTGGCAATCTGGAATTAGGACAGCAGGGAAAAAACCAAAATGAAGGGCAGAGGAAAGCAGCTTCCAGTGTCACAACACTCCACGTTTAGGCTCAGCTCGGGAAGTCAGTTGTGCTAGGGCAGAATTCAGGAGCCTCAGTCATAAGCCAGGACTCTGTAATATAAAGCACTGTGTAAGTGCAGAACAATCCTGCTTCCTTCAAGCTGAAACTTCACAGCAGCTCTGTAGGACCCCTTCTACAGGACAGCAGTTTCTTCTCTGCAAGGGTGCATTTTCTCCCTACCAACAGAAAACACATCTCTCCATGAAAACATACCCTGTCTTTGACCATGTCTGGTAGTCCCTCCAGCCCATCACGAGGAATATCCAAATGCTCTGGGAAAATTACTATTTTTACATCTTCGTCATATTCAAACTTTTCCTCTGTGATGTCAAATCCACCTTCTACACCTGCAGGAAGAAAAAAACATTGTGGTAACAGGTAAAACCAAATAACTTGCAAAGCTTCTTTGCCCATAGCTTACTTGATATTAGGCACCACGACTAAGGCAAAGCTCTAGGTCAATGATCCACAACCTTTCTGCCATTTCTGGATCCCAAAGCTTCTGCTGCTGGTGTGGGCTTCACAGGACCAAATATAAGCCTACTGACAATAGCTTTTCCCAGATCTTTTTACAGATGCTTAGAAGGAATCTCCAGATCCTGATTACAATCAGGAAAAAAAAAAAAAAAAAGACCTGCCCTAGAGAGACACTGGCCAGAACAGAGCCATGATAAAGCACTGCTGTTCATCCTTCACAGTACATCCAAGACAATGAACGGAGATGTGCATCCCAAGGGTCTTTTCCAACCTGAATGATTCTATGATTCTATGAAGAAATCAGATTCAAATCCTGTGCAAAGGTCTAGTCTACCAGCATCTTTAAGAAGCCTGCCTTGGCTTCTTGCCTCTTCCAGGAAGGACAGCCCTGAACTTAAGTAAGGAGAACCAGGAGTTCCTCTGGAACTAGCACATTCAGAATTACAGAAAAAGTTTTAGCAAAGGTATTTAGTGCTAGTAGTTTCTCATGCTCACTCAGCCATGCTTTCCAGAGATTGCAACAGAAATGGGAGTTCCATACGTAACAGGTTACTTGCCAGTTGTCAAGAGCCACAATGGAGGCTCACCAAAACCACGTGCAGTGGAGGGAACAGCTTCTGATTTATGCAGATACTCAGGAAAAAAAACTTGGCCTTTCCTGTACTCCAACAGCTCACACCTTAGATCCCAGAAGGAAACTGGCAGAAGACACATGGGTTACTAGCAGCCTTAACTCCCTATGGTTTTTTTTTCTTAACTGGATTTCCCTTATTTCTTAAAAAATGGCATGCTGTGACAGCAATAGATCTCTGAAGATCTGTGGCTGCAATAGATGGCAATAGGAGTTTTTGCTGTTTAATGCCTCAGCAACCTGTGTGCAACACACTTGTGACAACCATTACTGCATTTAGGTAAAAAACATTGACAAAAAACACCTGGCTCCCACAAGATCTCCTGCAACTCTCCTCTCAAACACCTACATTTTTTAGACTGTGCACAAACTGCCACGTACGAACGCAGATGCTGTGAGCCGGAGTGATTTAAGAAATACCTGCAAGCAGTCACCAGCATCATGCAACAACACACCCAGATAATCCCCTTCTGTGCCTCTTCAGCACATCCCAGAGAGATCTCCCGTCATCGCTTTGTAGAGTAAAGCAATACACAGTCCCTCGGGGGTTTTGCAGAGGGTATTACACAATTTCTGAACTCTAAACAAACTAAAACAGGCTGCCAAAATTCCCTAGGGTGGTTATATGAATCTGACGAAGCTCCAGATGAGGAAGAGGGTCTTTGGCCTGCAGATTGTCTCCTAGCCCTTTCCCTCCCTCCCTGTAGAGCCAACAGCTTGCCACGAAGGTACACTGCCTCCCTCTCTGTGCTTGTATCTACGTGCCACAAACTCCAAAAGCCACCCAACCAACACGCAGGCATGAGAAGCTGTCCTGGTTTGAGGTAAACCTGAACTAATTTCCTGCTCAGCAATTTTACTTTTTAGCTGGGCCTCTTCTAACTAACTAAACCCTGAAATTAACAGCATGTTGTTCAGAAACTGGTGACTCTCACAGTGATAAGACCTGATTATATCAAGGAACTGCAGACAGGCCCTTGCTTATACTTACTGCTATAACAAACAAGGTCAGGTAAATTTGTTATTTTTCCCCTTTGGAAGGTCAGAAGCAGAAAAGCACAGAGGGGTCACACCTGTAGGGGGGAGCGGACAGGACAGGTGACCCAAACCTGACCAACAGGTCCATCCCATCTGCATCACGGTCAGTGTAAAAGCTGAGGGATCAAAGGGTCAGCTCTCTTTCTTCAATGGCCAATGTCTGAGGAGGATCCTGTTTTTTCATCTGCCTTTGATCCCGATCTGAGCATTCCTGAATCCAGATCCGAAATCCAGCTCCTGTCCATCCCCAAGTCCAGTCTGGGCCGTTTCCCTGTGCCTGCTGGTGACCTGATCGTCATCCTGGGAGCTTGATACAGTTTTGTATATACTGTATACTTCCCAACCCCCCCTCCTTAATTAATACTTTCATTAAATTACTTTATTTTTTTTCTAAACTCATAAATCTCTCTTATCTCTTTCTCTCCTCTCTTTTCCTCGGATGTGGGAGGGAGGGAGGGGCCATCTGTCGTTCTGGTTGGTCAATACGGTCAAAACCACGACAGAAGCAAGCACTGTAGAATTTTTTTGCACAGAGGGGGAAGCTGAGGTACAGAGAGATCACAGCCTACAGTTTGCTGCCAAAGACATTTTGCTCATACATCTTTCTTCTACTTTTAAAAATCTCCCGTGTCACGATCAGCTAAACCAACACAGTTGAGCTAAAAAAAAGAGGAAAAAAACCCAACCTCTCCTGGATTTAAGATCACTGCATCAACTACAGCACTAATACTGTCTTTTATTCTCCCCTGCTCTGTTCCCCATTCAACTGTTATCACAGGCAACTATTTGCTGACCCAGGGACAACATTTGTCTCAAGACTTTGTAGAACTGAGGATGCAGAAATAACTCATAAAGCAGACTGAGCCTCATCTCTCTAAAAGCAGCATAATCATACACATAAAAGCACTGGCTATTGGAAGAAACGTAGATTCTAGTCTCAGTTTTGCTAGAAGTGACCTTTGGGACTCCGTTCACCTCACCATAAAACCAGAGAGCAGCTGAAAGTCTTAGTGCTGGTGTTTGTGCTGTGGCAGCAGCGGGGTCACAGACATCTGCCACACAATGGCACGGCCATGGAAAAAGTGAGCCAAAAGCAAGACGTGCACGGTCCAGGTTCTGGATTTCCCTCTAGTGGTCAGCTCCCCGCAAGCCAAGGACCTGTTACTGCTAAAAAATGTTCCAACCCTCTGCTTTATAGATCTCCATGATGGTTCAGAAATTACTAGGTGAGACCGCTCCAAATAAGCAGCACGTTCATTGATTTCCATGACAGCCTTTGCAGTTTGTGCAAAAGAGTAATGGGACACCAGCCCTGTTTTTCCAAAAAAAAAAAAAAAAAAAAAGGGCTCGTTTTTTATATTTTAATGTTCTCATGTATTTCCTCCAGTATCAGCCTTATCAGTACTCCAAAGAACTATCAAGCCCAAAATGTTAATACAGCGTTTACCGGTAATTTCTTCCCCGTCTACATAAATAACACTAGTTCAATATCTAAGAAGTTTAAAAAACAGCTTTTCTATCAGAAACTTCAAACTTACTTTTCTCAGACTTGCACGTTTTCTCAAACTCTCTCCAGCCCCACACATCCACATCAAGCTACAGCCCCACACTGGTTATACCCACACCAAGCCAAGTCAGGTAAAGAGAGTTAAGAGAGGATGCAAAACATTTACCTCCAGAAAACATGATGCAACTTTGAACACAGCACAAAACTACCACTGTTTGGCAGAAACTGCCCACCTAAGACACACCAGAACACATGAAGCTTGAATTTGGTCATGGATACTAGCTTTTCCACTAGCGCAGAAGAGGAAAGGCAAAAGCAACGTGCCATGAAGCCAGGGAGCTCCAAAGGACAGGTCCAAAACAACAAGGACGACATCATACACAAATGCTTTCTTACCGATAGCCAAGCGAGTTGGTTTCTTCCTTGGAGGGTCCCCAGCACTGGCGTTGGTGTCCTCTTCCTTCTATTTCGTTGAGAAGAAATAGGGAAACAGAGTTAGGGGGATAGGCAACCCTTAAGGATTGAAATTAAGCCACTCTGAAAACATAAAGAGGCAGAAATAGCACAGGCAACCCATACGACAACTCAGTATAAGCAGAGCTAAGGAGCTGGTGTGCCTCAACTCACCAAGAAAAACATCACTTACATTTGAGGACAGAAAACTCTGTATCTGACTGAATACAGAGACATATCCCACTCTCAATTTCAGAACAAGTCGGATTGTAGACATTTTTATTTTTTTACCGGTTTCCGTGTTCTTTTGAGGTGCAGGTAGACCCGCTGGCCTGTTTTCTGATAGTGCTTTTCCACATATTGCTTCCCAAAGCCCAGGAACGTGTTCATGCAGATATACAAGCCACCATCTGACTCCTGGAAGGAAGGAGAGAGAAAAACTGAAGGGAGACGGTAACGAATGCCATTCTGACTGCGAGGACAGACACAGACTTCCCTCTGGGAACACTATTCATTAAATCATGGCTACAGCTCATTCCTACCTACCAGCCACTTAGTAGCTAGTCTGAAAGAAGCTGGCAGGCCCCAGCCTGGCTGTCCCAGAAGAACAGGTACTCCTGTCAAGATGACGTATTTGAAAAACTATTTGAAAAACATCATTTATGGCAGGATGCTACCGAATCGGGAAAGCCTGAATGAGATTCCTCAGAAATCTTATCTCGGAAAAGGTCCTTAGCAGGCACAGTTCACACATTCAGAGCAGGGTGCGATCACTACCAACAGAACCGTGCCACCCTGTAGGAGAGTGTAACCCCCTGTGCCACAGGGAACTCTGCCAAACTACGGCGTGGGGAAGGTCAACAGACCCAACTGTTTATTTTTGCTGCTGCGTTCAAAAGCTTGTGAGTAGCTCCCAAACGGATACGGAACGAGCCCCTCCTCATCCCAACGCAAGCACCTTGAAACACACCACGCTCGTTCAGCAGAGATACTCTTTAAATCAGAGAGTTAAAGAGCTCTTAAATCAGCAGAGATACTCTTAAAATCGGCCCCAATGTCAGAGGCTGTCCAAGAGCTGGGAAGCCAGCAAGAAGCTCTCAGCCTGCTTCCCAACATCAACCAGCTGGGACGGAGTCACGGTGGGGGGCACATGGACGGGCATCACTGTGGGGGCTCGGGGAGGAAAAGAGGGCCAGGCTGCCGTGTGCTGCTTCCTCCAAGGACTCATATCTTCCAGCCGCATCCCGTTTCTCCCGGTGGGCTGGGGCGCAGCCTGGATGGGCGCCTGAGGAGGAGGCCGAGGGGGACACCTCGCTCTCCTGCCACCACCTGGGCCTCCCCAGGTCCACCTCGGCCAGGCGGGGGGTAGGGAAGGAAGAGGAGGGATGCCGGTAGGGTGGAGACGGCTGGAGAAGGGACCACTGCCATCTTAATGACACAGCACCCACTCCACCCACCCCTCGGCCGTGCCACGCCACACCGTGAGGCCGGAGGGGCCGCTCAGAGGCGGGCCGGGGGGTCCCGCCCCGCCTCCCCC